CCACCCATGGACCCCCGTCCCCACGGAGCTGTGGGGCAGCGAGCAGCCCAGAGTCAGGACAGCAGCCGGGGTGCAGGACAGAGCTCAGGGCCAGCTCCGGAGCCCTGGTGGCCTCTTAATGCCCTGGGGACCCCTGGCCCCGGGGGAGGACAGGACCGCAACCCCTTTGGGGCAGGACAGGACCCCTGGGCCCTGGGGCAGGAGGGACCTCAAACCCTCGGGACATGAGCCCCAGCCCCTTGGGGCAACACAGGACCCCAGTTCCCTTGGGGCAGTTTGGGACCCCCAACCCCTTGGGGCCAGATGGGACCCCCACTGCCCTGGGGAAGGCCAGCACCCCCAGCCCCTGGGGAAGGAGGGGACCCCTGGACCCTTGGGGCAGGATGGGACCCTCAGCCCCTTGGGGAAGCACGGGACCCCCACTGCCCTGGGGCAGGATGGGACCCCCGAACTCTCAGGGCAGGACAGGACCCCCAGCACCCAGGGCAAAGCAGGACCCCGAGCCCCTGTGGCAGGATGGGACCCCCACTGCCCTGGGGAAGGACAGGACCCTCCTCCCCTCAGGGCAGGACAGGACCCCTACCCCCTTGGGGCAGGACAGGACACCTGGACCCGGGGGCAGGATGGGACCCTCAGCCCCTTGGGGAAGGACAGGACCCCCTCCCCTCGGCACAGGATGGGACCCCCGGACTCTCAGGGCAGGATGGGACCCCCACCCCCTGGGGCAGGACAGGACCCCCCCCCATCTGGGCCCCACTGCCCTCCCCTTACCGCCGCCGGTCAGTGCTCCCACAGCCCCGCACGCCACCAGTGTCCCCTCCCGTGGCCAGTGCCAGTGCCCGGCCGGGCCAGTGGCCGCAGGTGATGCCGTCCGGCCCCACCCCACCGTGGCACTGCAGGGGCCTGACTCACGGCACCGGGCCGGTGCGGCGAGGCCACGGGCACAAGGGAGCCCCAGGCCCTGGGGCGGTGATTCAGCAGGAGGGGAGCAGCTGCAGGTGGCAGAGACCCTGCCGGACACACCGTCCCTGCGCTGACCCCCGGCCTTGTGCAACTCCCCGTTGGGGACAGAGCCACTGTGTCCCCCGGGATCGTGTGTCCCCAGCCATCGCCCACTGGTGACGCCGGCACGGCCCTTCCCCCATGTGCCCCGCACCGGGCGGCCAAAAATACCCACGGGGCTGGGGTGCCTGAAAATAGCCCGGGCGGCGTAAACAGCCAGGGGGGCCGAGAGCCGGTGAGGGGACCCCCGTGCTGGGGCAGGGCAGCCCAGGAACACCCCCCCCAACACGCTGGTCCCCCACGTGCCCCAGCATAGCCCCGTGGCACCTGTGGGGACAGACCATCCCCCCAGGGGCAGGCGCCCTGGCAAGGGCCCCGGTGACCCCTGCGAGGACACGCGTGCCCCAGTGTCCCCACGGTGGGACGTGTGTCCACACAGGGACCCCCGCAACCCCACAGGGACACACGCACCTTGGTGGGGACACAGGCAGCCCCATGGGGACACAGTCAACATGACGGCCCCACGGTGACACACACCCTGTAGTGACACGTACCCCAATAGCACCGTGGTGACACACACCCCACAGAGGCACAGCCACCCTGTGGGGACACTCCCATGGGGACACAGCCACTCTTTGTGGACACTCCTGTGGGGACAGCCCCGCACACAGATAGACACCAGAACCTCGACAGTGCCGCGGAGTCATCTTGGACCCCACAGGCCCACGCGCACCCCGCAGGGACATGGGCTCCCCAGTGACCCTGTGGGGACAGGCGTGGGGACAGGAGTGGGGACATATCTGCCCTGTGCGAGCACTGGCAGCTGGTGCCCCCGTGTACCCCCACCAGGCCAGGCACAGGCATGGGGGGTCCCAAGTGCAGCGTCCCCGCAGCGGCCGGGCCGGGGGACCCCGGGAAGGAGCAGGGTGATCACACTGCGACCACTTGGGGCCACATTGGGGCAGCTGCTCCTGTGTCCCCGTCCCCTGGTGACCCCCGTCCCCGGTGCTCCGGGGCCCCAGTGCCCCCGTCCCCTGGTGACCCCCGGTGCCCCCATCTCCGCTGCCCCATGCCCCGCCCCCGGTGGCCCCCCCCGCCCCCCC